TAATAATAATAATAATAATAATAATAATAATAATAATAATAATAATAATAATAATAATAATAATAATAATAATAATAATAATAATCAATAAGTTGATCATGCCGTGTCTTTCAGCGCCTGCCCCCTTTATAAGAAATGTAGGCCTACCGATGTAAATTCCAGTGAAATGTGGCTTGAGTGGCTGCGGGGACAGGGGAGGTTAATCCGAGTTTAATGCAGTGAAGCACAGCGCAGGGTCTGGGCTATGATGGGTATGTTATCTCTGCCCAACATTTGGGTCTCCCTCAATTTCCACCCAGCCAAATAGCTGCGAGAAAGTGCATATGGAGTCACTCTCAATGCCTGAGGAAAAAACGTTATTAATAGCTAAATAACTTCCCCATACTTTCACTGAATCTCTCTCACACACTGTTCCAGATGGATTTGTTTGAAGTGGTCTCTCGCTTCATTCCCCTGTCCTTCTCATTCAGCGCGGCTTTAGACCCGAAATATAGCTACATTATATTACCATACACTTAGAGAGTGGGAGAGCGCGCGCGAGTGTGTGCGCGCGTGAAGAGGTGCTTGTGATGGCGTGTGACGTGGAAAACCCACAGAGATGGCGTCTTTTCACACTAGAAGCCAAGTATTAATTTCCTATTTCTTGGTTTTGTTTTGTTTAGTTTTTTAGGAAAAATATACGGGTTGTATAATACGTTATGTTTTTTACGTAACCAGTGCGCGTTTGAGGTAAACATTCTCAGAAGAAATTAGTCAACAACCTGCCCGAGATAGGCCACAGAAAATCTGGATAACGTTTGTTTATATCGGGCTGTGTTTGAGAATAAAAATGTCATTTGACGTGTCTTTTGCCCTGCCCCGCACACTGCGCCTCTCCGAGAGGGTCACTCAAGAGTCCAGTCCTAATCTGGATCTGCGGGCTGTCTCCCCGCTGCTCTGTCACTTTCCCTCCCCGTTCCTCTAAAATAATCCCACCTGGCATCTGTTTAATTACACCGAGGACCACAGGTAATCCTACGATTTGCTGAAGTGTCCATCTCCTGTCTCCACCTCATTTGACGGTCAGGCAGGATGGATCAGGCTGGCAGACAGCTGTTTCTGTTTCAGCCGGTGTGGCGCAAAGATAGAAGATGCCTTCGTTTGTGTCCAGTTGCATTTTGTAGAATTGAATACCCGCTTAGATTATGAATCGAAGAAGAAGGGGTAAAAAATAAAGTAGAATATTATCGGTGCAAAAAATAAATAAAAACACGCTCAGTTTAGCCTGACTTAAGGCTACCTTATATAACATCATTCTGACAAATAACTGTTGGCTCTGTGCAGGAAAGTAAAAAAAAAAAAAAACTACATTATTGTAATAAGGTTCGAAGTTGAAAAAAACACGCTCGATAGAGCTAGATTAGGCCTTGGATAAATCCGTGATGTAACCTCTGAAAAAAAATCAAAGACGCAGACCTAATAAACAAACAGATAAATAAATAAAGTCTTAAAATCTGGATAAGTAAACGAAAAAAAAAATCTCATGAATTTTGTGCCCAGGGCGAGCCACTGTGAGCTCCGCTCTGAGATGAAAGTGAAAAGAAATAAAAGGCTCTATTTAATCTGCTTTAAAACCCCTCTCCACATAAGGGCTGTGCTTCAAACTCGGAGAGTGAGGGGCTGATTGGGGATAAATACATTTCTTACCATGCCTCCAAGCTATTACACCAGGCATGAACACAGCCACCTATTCAGCAACCGTCGTTTCCAGCGCTTACTCTAATAAGTATTAACATTATTAAACGCCATCCGGAAGCTGGTAGTCTAAACTGCGTCGCGCACACGGTGCGTCTCTTTTTATAGCAACGCAATTCAATCCTAATTTAAAACATAAGCAGCAAGACGTAGCAGACGGTACACGTGAACAGTTTTTGCTCGACCGGCGTCCTGGAGTAAAAACGCAGTCGACAATAATGCGGCGGTGGTGCAGTTAACACTTAAACTTCCTAAATAAATAGCGCTTTAACGCGCGAGTGTGCGCCTATTTGTGCGTAAAGACCGGGCCAAGCAGGGACACGTCGGTCTCTTTTTTTTTTTTTAAAGCCAGCGGGGTTTACAACCCGTCTGTTTGGACACTGTAGATATTTGCAACAAAATGGGGAGTTTTTTTCTGCAAACATTACTGCGTGGTGCGAGAGAAAAAGGAGAGCGTTTTCACGCTATCAACTGATTCTTCTCCAACTGACCGTTATACAAAATTAAAAAACTATCTAGCAGCGGGGCGTACTGAATAATTCATCTCCTTTTATGTCTCTTCTTGCCCTTTGTCCAAACTTTTCTCTCTCTTTTTCGCAGCTTTTTGAATGAGAATAGACGGGCCTATACTCTCCTTTTCGCCTCCCTGCTTTCCAGGATTTGCTTTTGTACCTCGGACTCTTCGCTTTAGAAAAGCCTCAATGGAGGGGAGGTTGTGCTCATGAAGTTCATCTTCAAGTTTGAAAAATTTTTGGCAGTGTCCCTTTTGAGGGGAAATTGGGCTTTTGTGAATTCTTATCTAGATCCCATTCACCCTTTTGGTTATCAAAAGGACCATCGTTTACATCCTTCGCAAAAGGGAGGCGGTGCGTTTCCCAAATTCGTGGCCAACAGTCACCCAAACAAATAAAATACGACAGTAAAATCAGACGCTGCTGTAAAATACCATGTCAATGCCCTTTAAATTTTCAAGTTAAGAAAATTTCCGTTCTTTCGTGTTTAGAAAAATGTTAATTGCTTCCAATTTTTCCTCTCTAGATTAGTCTAGTGATGAATAAATAGGACAAAATTATCTAGGAGACAATAAAAAAATGAGAAAAAAAATAGAATAAATAGCAATGATTTCAAAGTTGCAATGGAAAAAAAGGCTGCCTGCAAATGACTGAATTTCTTTATTTCTCCCACCTAGCAGCATCACCATCAGAGCAAATAAGAATCTGAGCATTGATTTCCACTTTAACTGACAAGTGGTGAAATGTCAGTGAACCGACATCGATTGTGAAATGGGTCAACTGTCAGCTGTCGTTTAGGGGTCGTTAAATGAGTGAGTGAATGAGGAGGAAATCGCTACACAAATTAATTTTCAGCAGCTAAATACCTTCTGCCAAGGCTCTCATAAATAATTGAGTGAATGAAGAACTGCTGGCTCGGAGTTAAAAGCAGGAACACATTTTCTGCGTTTAGCTGCAGCTCGGATGAACGACAATTTCCCAAGAGGACGTGAAGGAGGAAGTCTATTCAAAACACTTGCTTCCAGTTTACAAATCTTCAGCCTACTCCAAATAATAATAATAATAATAATATTAATAATAATAATAATAATGATAATAATAATAGTTATTCCAGAAATACTTTCTGTAGTTAACTTACATTTATCACCGAGGATGCCATCGATGCTATGCTTTGTTTTCTTTTCTCCATCTTCATCCTTCTTATCACAGTCATCCTCGTCATCTTTTTTGCCAAATCGGGCCCTCAAAACGCGGCTGATGGAGCTCACTAATGGCAACAAAAAGGTAAATAGGTGATTAGCCCTAAAACCCACAATAGAACCATGATAATCCTACCATACATTTTGAGAAGGATACAAAGGTGTCAGGAAAAGTTCTACATGAGAAGATATTTTAGATTCAACTGTTTGATTTGAATAACACAGCGTCTGTACGCTGTACTATGAATCGATCATGGTGCACTGAAGCCACATTTCAACAGGATTTTTTTTCTCTTTCTGTGTCAAACAGTTGTAGGTATGCTTACTGGGGCGTTTATTGTCAGAAACGGGGGCTTTAAAACATGACGAATTCAAAGTGATGTTCATTCAGAAGTGATGCTGCAGTGTTCGCTGTTGTAAGGGAAAAAAAAAAAGTGCAGCTTACCAGATGAAGCCTCACCTGAAGGAACTGTGCTTCTGTCGCACACCCCGTCCTTCAGCAGCTTATCCCGGATCTCCCAGCTGAACATACCCGGGTTTTCTCTCTTGTACTCTTCGATCCGCTTCTCCACGTCAGGAGTTGCTACCTGCTTTAGGTTTGAAGTGGTGTCGAGGGGATGAAATAAGACAAGCGAGGAGAGAGGAGGCATTTCAGTTTTAACAGGGGTTTATTTTTTACAGGATTTACACAAAAAAGTTAACATGAGGGGGGAAAAAACGAAATATTAAAAAAAAACTCTGAATGTGTTTAAATTTCAGTGGGAGTGTAATGGGCTTTTGACCCAGATTTAAGAAACAAACGGACAAAAAAAATTAAGAGTGGCACAATATAAAGAAATATAAATGACATGAGTTGACAATATCATTTTTCAAACGTATTTATATACCTAATAATTTTCCTAAAACTATATAAAATATATATATTATGTTCTTTATTGTAATCGAGTGAAATGCTATGGAAAATCATCTTGATCTAGTTTTCACCGTGATGAAAAACAATTCATGTTACAGGTGGGCTGCACGTGTGGCAGTGATAACAAAACCCTCCTACTGTCCGGACAGGGTCCTGCAATCATTATAATCATTAGTACTGTTATTATTATCATCGCTATTATTTCTACTTGTGCCACCTGCACTATCCACATTAATTCTGTCAGGTGCTGCACGGCTCGTGCCACCGTGACCCCATGCTTTCCCCCCCCCTGTCCTCGTGCCGCCGTGACCCGGTCAGACGGCCGCGGAGCGCCACTCACCCTGGGCTTGCTGCCTCCTATGGCCCCCGGACGGATGGAGCCGGTCTCCTGGTACCGGCAGAGGATCTTGGACACGCAACCGTGAGACACTCGCAGCTGTCGCGAGATCACGCAGGGCCGGATGCCGTGGTGGGCCATCTCCACTATCTTGTGTCGGATGTGATTTGGCAGGGGTCTCCCGTTGATGAACACTCCGCCCAGCTGGTTCACCCTACCCTGGCCCAGAGGGGTGGACACTGCGCCACGACAAACAGCAACAGTCTCAACAAAAACAAAACAGCAGGCTGTGCTCCCTAAAGCTGTATTTACCTTAGGCTAGACGAGGCCGAGGATTGATCAAACACGGCTATTTTTCTTAGTGATTTTTGTTAATAGGACGCAGATTAACATGTTCTACATTTTCAAGGGAGCATGGTGCCAAAATCATCCAGCCTCGCTTTGGCTGCCAGGATGCATCCAAGGCCACTTCAGCATGCAATTTCACATTCAAGAGACACTAAAGAGGGTGACACTCCCCACCTTGATTATTCCTAGTCATGCTGTACAAATATTGATGTGATCCTTTGAGCCTTCTCTTTGCTGTGTGTATTATTGCCATTTCCAGCAGCAGGACACTTGAACAAATCCCGCAGCTCGAGTAACTTGCGAGCTACGTGGTTTTTGTACATTTCAGTCCAGGCCACTTGAGCACGAAGGGAGCGTAATGGGAAAACTGTTTCCACAAATGCATGCAAATACAAAATGATCTTTTTTTCCGCCCATATGTTCAGACGACTTGAGCCTGATGGGTATTGAAGTTGGGTTTAAAAAAAAAAAAATCCAATTAAATGTCTGACAACTGCAGCTGGAAAGCAAAACATTTTTTTTTAAATAAAAAAAAAGCTCCCTTAATTTTTATTTTGGGTAAATCTTGAGGCTATGATACAGGTATTGTGCCATGAAACATTAACCAAAAATGACTTCTTCTTTTTTTTTAATAGATAGGCTACGTTAATTAACACACACTTGAAATGACTCATATAATTATAGAATTATTCCACGCACAGATTTATTAAACAGTCACATATTCTTTATAAATTTGGCTCACTGTGTATATATACATATACTTGTATATAAACATATATCGAATTTAAAAAATAAAAACGTAAAATAGATACACAAGCGAGCCCTTCTCTCCAACTAGAATTCCCCTCTGACCATGACTTGGGGTTAACTTTAATCAGCCCTGACTGCAGCGCGCATTGTTCACCCATCTTTTTATTCCCCGATGTCAACGATGACAAATCGTGTTCGGCGTCAGTGCCAGCACAAGCTGACAGAGGGGACAATTCAGGAGTTCAAATCAGCGAGACGTCAAATATGAAATAGGCGTCGTCCGTTTGTTTTTTTTGTTTAGTTTTGTTTTGCCCTTACCTTCCAGGGGGAAGCCGGTTCGGGGGTAGTTCTGGCCTGGCGCAGGGCGCACCATTCGAGGCACTGTTCCTGGCAAAGTAGCCATCATGTAGCTACTCGAACAAAAGCAGAAAACCGGACACTGTTCGCAACCTGCTATACTCTCAGAAAGTCCCAGTCAGCAACGGCAACTATGAAAAATCAAAAACGAAAAAAAAAAGAAAAAGGAGAATAAAGTCAAAATGCTCTAAAAAGATGCGCTGCTGCTGTCAAATCCCAATTCCTGGCGGAGAATCTGGACGAGCCCTTCTTCCACCGGGGGAAAAAATAAAAACGATGCTCTCCACAGACGCGAAGGATGTGCCAAAATAAAGAAGAAAAAGCAGCAACAATTGAATTAAAAACCTCTAGTATGTTTGCAACATGGAGGGGTCGCACCTAAATGATCTGTGTTGGGGAAAATGCGGTGTTATTCTTTTCCCTTGGTGTAGTTATGGTTCAGTTTAATGTCTGCTGGCAGGCTGGAAGTAGTTTAAGTGGCCAACTTTCGTGTATGTAGTAGGAGGAGACAGCCGAGCTCTCCCATAGGCTCCCTGCCCTTTCTTTTATGGATGAAAGAGAGTGGGTTTAGCCAGGAGCCGGCCGACCAATCAGATCAACACATTACACTTTTAATTCACTGCTGCCTCTCTCAGAAGAGCCCATAGACCCAAACCAAGCTCAAATCTTAATACATCTAAATGTTATTCTAAAGCAGGGGTGTCTGTGGCATTCCCAAATACCGTGATATTTCAAAGCCTCCATTCGTTCTGTCTTTTTTCTTTCGATATTTCTTAAAGTAATAAAAAATACTATTATTTTTAAAAAAGTGACATTAGAAATACAAGTAATAAAAATGTGTAGCCCTAAACCTTTAACGAAGATTCAGTCATTAAACATCCTTTCGATGTTTACTATCCACTTGGATAAATATTATTAGTCTGTTTCACATTATAAAAAAATGAAACTTCTAACTTCTTTTAATGCAAAAGTTACTGTTCCGCGTCAGCACGCCGATCTTCATTAGCAGCTTTGAGAATAATCCCAAAAGCAGCGAGTCCAGAAGTGACTGAAAGTGCGGGGAAGCAGCCCTGCCAGGCAGAGGTTACCCTATAAGACGCTTTTAGCGTGTTAACCTTTCAATTAAGCAAATGTGCGCAGCGTGAGCAACCAAATCGCTCCTATGGCTTTTGTGGAAGCCTAATTAGACTACAACGTTTGGATCGACCCGGTATTGATGACAACAGGTTGGCTCGCCCCGGCGTAATTGCTTAAAGGTAATTGTTCAAATAAATAAATAACGCGTCTCTATTAAAGTCCAATATAAAGAGCACATATGGTAGGAGAGAAGAGGTGCATGTGTTAACTCTGCGGGCCCACCGCGCATATAAAATCGTGTGACAATTGCCGTGGAAAACACTCCTGGTGGAAGGCAATTTCACAAATAATTTTAGCAACAATTAGGGAGTGTGGAGGGGTGAAATGGCGATTTCACATGCAGATGTGCCGGTGGGAAGGGATCTGGTACCCTGCCGAATAGCTCTGACCCTCACTCTCCCGCTTTGGTTTGCTTCACATGGGACAGAGGAGCACAAAGAGACCGCCTCACCCCTCCTGGGAAGGCGCAAAGACCAGTGGATTAAGTCGAGCATCAGTCATGTGGAATCCAAACAGCAGCACATTTCTCTTGACAAAAGCACCCATATTCTGCTCTCCGTCTCTGTTGCTCCCAAGCCACAACAGGTATGTTTTTAAAAAACGGAGCTAATAACCTCCTGTTCGTGAAAATACCATTGGTTCAGCACCACCAGGTCTCGCCTCTCTTATCCTAATCATTACAGGCCTGATATTCATTTGCTATGCAGCTGTTAGTAATTACACCAAAAAGAAAAGCATTAGCAGTGCGCAGAGAAATTCATCATAATGAATTTAAGTGTGATGCTGCGCATCGTATGTAATATGTTTGTAAACAGGGGACGTTTTAGTCTCTGCAATTTTCAACCCGATAAATTGTTAAGGTGGTTAAAACCTAAATCCTTTGTGGGAATTTTGTACGGTCATTTTTCAATCAGGGTGGATACAAACTCAACAGCACCATTTCCTAAAAGCATGAGAGCCATAGAGCAAAACCAGTGTCAGGGCTGAATAAACAAGAAAGCAAGAAGGGACAAAAAGCAAGACAACATAAAATGCACATAAAATATATTGATATGGTGTTATTCAATCAAGTTTTTCTAGCCCTAAATATAATAAAGTAATTATAGGTATTAAACAACATTAGATCTTATTATGTGTTGACATGAACTTGCAATAGAAAAAAAAACATTTTAATATTATGGAGTCCTGCACCAGCCTTAATTCGTAAAATGATTGATTTGATAATTCTTTAAATGTTTAACAGATAAGACTGCTGGGGCAAACATAGTACAAGAAGACATCATGTCCACTAGTGGGCGATTACTGCCTCACAACACCTAATGTTGAAAAAGGGACAAAAGACATTTTTACTGTGAGCTGTAAGCTGCTTCAAACAATGGTTTTGTTGTCCCATGTGTGCATTTAGCATGTGAAGTGGTGTCTGACTCATGCTCATCCTCGTCACACCCTAAACCCCATTTAGCCTGGTTGTTTCTGCGGGGTTCGGCTCGGCGTCTGGCTCATATAAGTAACTGTGTCACTGAAGTTTCCTCTCAGCTGCAGCAGACAGAAAAACACATCCTCCCTCTCTCATGATACTGTCTCCAATCTTATCTTGATCAGGACCGCTCTTCAAACACTTCCCTGCATAGCCTCTCATTATTTGTGTTATGGCAATTACCAAAGTTTCTTTTTTGCTCGTAGGTGAACACTTCAACCCCCTCTCATATCACCATTCTTTTTTCCTGAGCATAGATTTTGGTTATTCACATTCATGAACACAAAAGAGAAAACACCTTTGATAAGATGCACCATTTTAGGCTTAGTCCTTCTTTGTTTAATTATTGTTAAAATTAAGAAGCAAAGTTAGGGCGGCAAAGCAATATTATCTATTATTAATTTTTCAAACACTCCTTTAGATGTGTGCTGAATGTGATCCAAGCACAACTGAATCTGCTTCTTATTTTTTATGTCTGTTGAATAGAATATGTTCACTGTCAGGGACACTATTTCCAAAATGTATAAAACACAAGAGTCAACTATAGCTATTCAAAAAATACTATTTTGTTAACCCTGTAATGCCTCATGTATCATTTTTTAAACATACAGTTTCTGAAGTGTGCATCTGAGACCTTTTGTATAATCCAATACAAAAACTTTGCTCAAAACCCCGTTGTACACAATCAGATATACCTGGAAATAGTGGAAAGAATAACACAACAATAATTTTGACTCATCCCAAAGACATAAATTATAAATATGAATAGATTATTTCTGTTTAATTTATTTTTTCTCATATTTTGTTAAAGGGCCAAACAAAGACTTCAAACAACAAAAATACTTGATTTTCTCTCTATTATTTCTTGGATCAGGCTCTGAAGAGTTAACAGTAAACATTAAAAAACACAGATTCCTTCTCCTGAGCCCTGAAGGGCTTCACTTTAAAAGCAAGATGAAACTCATAAATATGAACTGATTAATTCCTGAAACTTTTTCTTTGTTGAGAATGGCAGATGTTTCCATAAATAATCTTAAATCTGCAAAAGTAGTCAGTACATCAGTCAGCTCCGTTTTTCCTTCCAACTAAGGCTGGTCTCACTGGTGTTACACTTTAAAGTTTATCATGCAAAATCGGCACATGTAAAACAGATGTCAATGTGATAAGCTGCATCTCGGAGATTCGGAAGGGGGATGTCGTTGCACACTGCAAGAAGACCAAAACGGTGACTCTATTTTTTTATTCCTGTTTCACCTCCTTTGCAAAGCCCATATCTGAGGAGGATGCTTGACAAAGTCTGCACTTCCGCAAGTGTCTTGTTAACACGTTGAGACATTTTCACATCTGCTGAGAATTATCTAAATGTGTAATCATCTCCTTATGGGAAATTATTTTCATCACGATAGAGTACAAGCGTATAAAATGTGCTCTTAGGAGGAGACTGCTGAGAAGCTTACGACATGTTGTAAGTGAAGTTAAAGAAAGCCGTATTGGAGATATTCATCACATTATGTGGGGTACATGCATTTAAGCCCTGACAACGTCATGTTTGGTTTATAAAGAGAGCCAGGAGTCAGGAATGCCTCACACTCATTTGGAACAACTTAGCCGACACGTGAACCTTGCCTGACATCTCACTGCTCAGTCTCCACCTAGCTGGCTCCATGCATGTAAAGGAAACACGGACCGAAGGTAAAATGAAGACAGGTGAGGGCAGTTGGTTAGGAAAATGTTGTAAATTCTCCAAAAACCACCAGAGAAACCCATTTCACACAACCATAAAGGTTCTACAGTGTGTGGCGGCCTCTCAGGATTGCCGTCTCTTCTTTAAATCATTCTTTAGAGACAAAAAGCAGCTCCAAACTGGGACGTCGCGAACACCGAAAAGGTTTTTCAGTTTTTTGGGTGGTTTCTTTTGTGGTGTGGTTTCTTTTGTAATGCTAAATGCTGGATGAAATAAGCAACATTTTTCTTTCATGTTTCAAGAAAACAAAAATAAACTATAATCTAGTCTGGTCTGAGGGTAAGTTGTAAAGTAAATACAATAATTTTATTTGTCTGCAGCGTGTTTGTTTTATTGACAGATGGCTGTTGTGTTGTATTTCAATTAAACCTTTTCTGAACTTTAACCAAGTGGTTTTTAAAGCTGAGATATGTCCAAATGGCAAGTGAATGTACAAAGAAACAGAGAGCGAAAAGAAAACAAAAATTTTAATTAAGTAAAGAATAAATAGAAAACTAAATAAAAGGGGGGAAATAATTGACTGATTTAAAATCACCAGTTAAAATGTTTCACTTTCAGGGCTCTGAGTAAAATGTGTTGGGAACCAGTGCTTCAAAACAAACAAACGCACTCATTCCTGCCACATGTGCACTGCTCACACACAATGTGTGGCAGGGGAGAGGAAAAACAACACATGTTAAGTTGACGTCTGAGTCTGGTGTGTGAGTTACGAGTCGTGGAGAAATCTAGAACTCAAACGACGATCAAACGCTGCAACTGCCCACTTAGCGTGCCCCAGCTTTCTTTGGCTTTCTAAAGAGGTCAGCAGGCTGGACAGGGCATCGCGCGGTAAAAAAAACTCTGACAAAGATTAAAAGACAACCTGTGTTTAGCGAAGATCCGACGGGAAGGTGCACATTACCTTTTTGTTGCAGTGGCATCAGCTGAAATAAGGTTTGGGGGTGACATCACACACACAGGCGGCCTCAGCTGGGAGGGGCAGGTGGGTACAACGGGTGGAGGCTTGGTGGCAGGGGGTTGATATGTGTCAGAGTGGGTGACATCCTGTCACTGCTCATTATGGTGTGAATTCTGTTTACCCTCAGTAACACCTTTTCTTGGCAGGAGCACTAAAAACTTGTGACACAACACTATAGATAGAAGTCAGCAAAGGAGAGGGAGAGATTTCAAATCTAGTTTGATCTCTAAGGAATGGGTGGAGATGTTAGACAATCCACTGCAAAGAGACAGGCAATCTTTAGTCCACAAATGAAAGCGATCTCACACTTTGAAGCCAGGGAGCAAATTAGCGTAAAAATACAAGGCACATGATGCAGACCGTTGTCTCCTCCGCGTCTCATGAAGTGCAACAGTACTTCTTTATCCCCTTTAAACAAAATGTTAAGAAACCTGTTGTCTGGATATCCCGAGGCTCTTATCAGCCCAGAGCAGAGCTCACCTGCCCTCTCCCGTTTAACACAACATAACACGAAAAGAGCTCTCCTTTCCGCTCCACTGTCACATGGAATCACACCAACACTTCAAATACACCAGTTTGTTGCACATTTGTTTACATAAGGATGACGTTAGAGTTTAATGCAATGCCTGCTCGCCTGAGTTGTGCATAAATAAGGTACCATATCATAGCCAACTGCTGATTTCATGTCTTTGATGATTTGCCTCAGACCAGCTCAAACGCATGGAGATAATACAACATTTTAAATGGTGTGCAACTTGTCATGGCCGCCTACAGTGTCCCTAAGATAAGGCTGCTCCGGGTTTAGTGTCAGTATACTGAGGGAGGTTTTTTTTTTTTACAGTTACACACTAAGAAAATTGTATGTTGCTACTGGGTGTTGAACAAACAGGTTACATGAACACGTAAATGTGAAAGATCACAGATGAGGAGATTTCCCTCAAGCATGCGTGAGACTAAATCAGTCAACCAGCATTTTGGAAGAATTTATCCTTCATGGTATCCGTCACTAGCATCAGAATCTCTTCAAAGCTTTGACTAGAACACAACCAGAAGGGCTTTTCTAGTGATTAGAATGTTTACTGATCTAATTAAACTAAACACATTTCGTTCAATTTGAACTAATTTGTGCTCTGTCCACTTCAGGAGAATGCTGTGTGCCCTTTAAGAACAGGCTTGTGTTTTAACACGTAAAGTTAATAACAGTAAAATAACTTTTTTTTCTTTTTCTTTTAATGCTTTAACCCTAATTCTGGACAATGAAAGCACACTCCAACCTTTAGAGAGTTGCCTGTAAAGGTATACTGTGGGATGCTGGCATCATTTCATTACAGTGGCCAGTGTTACAATCCATTTTACACGACCAGAAATACTCTGCGTGTGTGTTGTACTTGTCAACGTGTGTGCGTGTGTGTGAGTGTCAGTGTGTGTGGCATGTGATAGGAGCAAAATGCTTGGGTATCACGCTCTGATGTGCATGCCAAATCCACTTGTCCTCTCACACAACCTACTAGTGTGACTCTGCCGCTTCAGCCATGCCAGCCGAGGTCTGGAGGAGCAACAGCATGGGAGGAAGATCATGACCTCTTTAGGAGAAATCTGAATTTTGCCAAATATTACCTGAAACTAGCTATGGTTACCCTCTATTGTCTTCATCAACGTTGGAACCTCAACAGATTTAAAGTTTCAGAATAGCATGTTTGTCTCTATGTGAGTCAGTAAGACTTTCAAAATGAATACAAGCTATAGTGAAACCTGATGTGGAAGTGAGCATGAGTAAAGGACAAAAGGACTTAACACTGTGCAATGTGTGCCAGATGTGGCTCCAAGCTAGTTTCTACCTGAAGCCACAGAGCAGAGGCCAAGATGAACAGATTGAAGAGACTTAAGATAATAATCACTCGCTCATAATCACACTATTCAAATCTGGCTATCGATGAGATAAGTCAGATTTAGTAAAGGAACTCCCTGTGTTCAAAACAAACGGTTTCTTTTTCAAACTGTTGACAGTTTTTGAAATCCTTTATTACAGTTTAAACTACCAAAGTAACCAAATGAAGGCTTGCAGCATCTGTCATTTAATCCCTTGTCTGGACCAATTAATTACCCTGTTTGGCAAATTTGACCATGCTCCTGGTTTCCTCTGAGACATTTTTGGTCGATAGCATTTTACTTTTTTTTTCTTTTTATGAGAAGACATACACACATGAATAAGTGTTACATACAGGACGAATAAAAGGACGAAGATCTGTTTTAAAGGAGCATTCTCATGGAATCAATGTATATAAACCACTTTTGTAAGAAAAAAGTGGAACAACAACTCCATCAGAATGTGTTACATCCTTTTTTTCCTTTTTATGATGCTGTAGTTGAAATCAATTACTTATGCACAAACTTAGAAAGAAATTTCTCAGTAATGTGGCAATGTCAGCTGAGGATTCTTTGAAAAATGTTTATCTCCAACTATCCTTCATATATTTCACACTGGCGTTACCTTTTGTATACACACACATATTCATATCCACTTCTCTTGAGTCTTTAGTTTCTCTATATAAATAAATACAACTGATTGGCGATTTTAAAAGTAGCCTGAATGGTGTCCTGTTATCATAAGATACAAATTGTCTTCTTGTGAGCAATAATTAAAATCGTATCTTTTATGACCCAGCTATCTTTTCCTGCAAAGTCACAAGACAGTTTATTGGCGTTTTACGCACAAGCTTCTATTCTCAGCACTGATGGAGATATCAACAAGTCAAAGGATGAAGAGCGAAGTTTACAACCTCACTAAAATGAGCCGATTATGCAGACAAATGTAACTGTTCAATGAGCCTGTTTATGAAATCCTTTTCCTGTTCTTTCAGGAATTATATGATGTTTAAATACAACAAGACATGGCTGATTCATCCCAGTTGAAGCCACTGGTGAGGCTGCCTTGTAGGACTTATGAATAATGGAGAGTAGTGTTTTAATGAGGGCCTTGATGAAACACAGACAAAACAGGCAAAATTAAAATAAAGCAGCTGGATTTTAACCTTTTTTTTGTAAATATGGATTGTGTTTTACCCACTATCTTCACTGCCTTATTAACTGAGGAAAGGAAGCACATGCTTCTCAGTTCCAGAGAACATAGAATATCTTGGCCTTAATCAGTGGCTGCAAGAGTTGACAAATCTTAGGGGAAAAAAAGGAACAGAAAATGAAAAAGTCTCTTTGTTAATGAAGATAAAAGTAATGGCTCCATTTTGCATGCTATCACAATTAGTCTCACCACAACCATCTGAAAGATCCCTCCAGAAAAGGCAGATCACTTGACCCTCCATCTGTGACCGAATCCCATCTTCCCATTAGGTGCTCTCTGCAACCATAACATCTATCTCTACTCATGCTGGACACAGATGCTTAAAAAAGAAGAGGGCATCACAAAGAGCTGACAGTCTGGAAGTCACACGGCGCCTGTGATTGAAAAGATCCATTATTCTGACTAACCAAGCTGGAGAATCTTATGAATATGCTGCTCCTCTCAAAAACAAACTTAAAACAACTTAAAGCTGCCATGTGGTTGAAAAGTTCCCAACTTTAAAATACCATCCTTGATGTGAATTTACTGGCACATTTTCTTTAGGATGCATGACAAGGGATGATGTTTAGTTTGAATTTAGATAGAATACCCTGTTGAATTAAGTATTTCTACCCACTTAAATAATTGTACATTTCCATGCACGATTTATCTACTGGTTAGTCCTGTTCTAAGTGTCTTCATATCCTCCATGTTTGGTCCGTTCTACCAAGCCTCCATGTTTGTCAAAACCCATGCTACTTTTTTGTCTTCTTCAACTAATGTTTACTTGTGTTACTTTCAACAATTCAGGGGAAGTTTGACAACCAGTGTGACTTCCTGTGGCTCATGTTGGTGCAAACATAAACGACCACATAAGTTGTTGAAGCCGTGGCATTATTTGCTGTTTAGAAAAGCATGAAGAAGAGGTTTGGTTTGTCAGATGAGCA